ACTTTCTTCGCTCGGATAATTAGCTTTTCATATCTGAATTACTGTCGGAAACACACACCAGTTACGCTTATCAACTAATTTGGAATTTATGAAGTATTCACTAAAGACTATTTAACAACAACAAGTAACGCTCCTCTCTGGACTCTCTCAGCTTTTGCTCGTAAAAGTAGTATTTTCAGACTACTAACTAATAATTAATCATTAATCAGTGATAATAAAACTAACGGTAGATACAGATTCGCCATGCTCAGCTGTTTGGATCAATGTTTGAAGAATAAAATAGTAATGAAAGAAACTAATAACGAATTACTACAGCAAAAGGATGAGAAGTAATTCTTGATTTGGATTTCTCTCCTACACAGCTTACTCGCTAAAATTTTTAAACATTTATTTATACTCACTATTGATTAATTCATGACTACTAAGGTTTAACTAATCTCAGATTCGAATTCCTCATCCCACATAACTTTCGATTTAAGTTTTTTTGAAAAATTGATTCGACTAATTATTGACGTGAAAAGATTCCTAGATTTAGATGGGTGATTTTCGATTACCTTAGATTGCATTTTTGAGAAAATTTTAATAGTTAACAATTAGTTTATTAAAAACATCCTCAGATTCAGATTTTCCGCTCTCAATTACTTTCGGTTAAGTTTTTCCGAAAAATATTAACAAATAATAATCAGTTAATAATTATTAATTTATTAAATATCTAAAACTGAAGTCGAATTCGAACCCCACATTCCCATTTACATTTCTCAATTTGTTACGGAAAATATTAATAATTAATAATCAATTAATTAAAACTAAACTCAGAGTCGAATTTCCCAGCCTCGGTTACCTTTTGTCAAGTTTTATGGGAAATTTTAATAATAAATAATCAGTTAACAAAAAATGAACAAGCAAAACTCGTCTAAAGACTTGCTCAGCTTTTTCTCGTAGAAATTGTGTTTCTGAATTATCACCAAGCTGTTCATTTAAAAAAAAACGAACTCCGGTTCAAGTTCCTCAGCCTCAATTGTCTTTGACCAAACTTCATAAAAGAAAATGGTTTTTGTAAAGTGATCCTTTGTGTAAAAAATAAGTTTCCAAAAATTTTAAAAACTAATAACAGATTCGAGTTCTTCGACTCCAATCACCTTTCGGTCAATCCTAATAGCAAAGTTTTTTTCATAAAAGTGCTCCTTTTTATGAAAATATTGATCCTCAAAAAAGTTTGAAAGAACTGACCTCAGATTCGAGTTCCTCGCCTTCGATCGTCTTTGGACAAGTTTCATATAAAACAAATTACTAATTCATTATTAGTTCATAAATAATACATAATTAATAAGTTAGTTAATACCAACCTTAGATTTGAACTCCCCATCCTCAATTACCATCTGTTCAAGTTTTATAGTAAATATTAATAATTAATAATCAGTTGTTTATTTGTTAATAATTAATAAGCTAAAACTAACCTCATGTTCGAACTCCCCATCTCCGATTACCCTTGGGTCTAGTTTTATAAAAAATATGAATTATTAATTAGGGTGGGGTGTGGGTGTGTGTGAAGATGCCTTCTCCGACACCCACACCCACACCCACACCCTCTCCAAGTTCTGAATCAACTTCTTTGTCATCATTGTCATCACTAGTATGTTTGGTCTGTTTATTTTTGATGATTACTTTATCTATTGATGACTCTTAGGCACAGGATTCCCTGGATTCCTAGGATTTCCATGGGATTCCCAAGATTCCCACGGGATTCCCCGGATTCCCATGGGATTCCCAAGATTCCCAGGATTCCCACGGGATTCCCCGGATTCCCATGAGATTCCCAAGATTCCCAGGATTCCCATGAGATTCCCAGGATTCCCAGGATTCCCATGGGATTCGGAATCCCGGGAATCCGCCGTTTCCCCCTTGCTATTTTCAATGAATTTAAATTAGATTTCTATGGACCTTTAGGTCAAAAACAGGTTTTTAGACCTCTCATTAAGTACTTCAGATCTTTCTTATTTCCCTATTAATCTTTAAAATAAATATCATATTTGGAATCAGCACACTTAGTTCTATAAAACTGTAAGGACTTCTATAGGATTCTTGATAAAAAAATTTTTTCGATCCCTGCGGGACTCCATGGGTCGAAAAATCGAATCATGAGAAGGTGTAAAATAAACTCGTGAAAAAGAATCAGGGTTCAATGCTGATTCTAGCGCTGATAAAATTAGGGTCAAATTCTTTCGTATGCTGAGATAGGAATTTCACACACCTCCTTTCTCATTAGACACAGAGAACATTCAATAGGATTATGATATCGAAATAAATCTAATAGAGAACGCTATTAGGTTATGTCAATAACAGCCGTTAAAACATATAATATCTTCTAAACTCTATAAGCACCTCAGCACCTTCTCAGCACCTCAGCACCTTTTCAGAACCTCAGCACCTTCTCAGCACCTCAGCACCTTTTCAGCACCTCAGCATCATCAAGTACAATTTGGCACTTGGTACCTGCACTTTCCCCCTTGTCATGTCCTGTATTATGTGGGTATTCTTAGGTCCTTAAGGCCTATATTACGGAGGTACTTTTGGGTTCTCATCTTCTATATTATAGGGATACCCTCGGGTCCTCATATCCTATTATATGAGGGTGTCCTATTCGGCAGGCCGTGAAGACTTATGGATACCAGTATAGAATAGGTACCCCCATAATATAGTCCTTGACGAGCTAAAGGTACCCCCATAATATAGGACTTGAGGATCTAAGGGTACCCCATAATATAGGACTTGAGGACCCAGGAGTACCCCCGCAATATAGGACTTGACGACCTAAGGGTACCCCCATAATATATGACTTGAGTACCAAAAGGTACCCCTATAATATAGGTCTTGAGGACCTAAAGGTACCCCTATAATATAAGACTTGAGGACCTGAGGGTACCCCCATAATATATGACTTGAGGACCTAAAGGTACCCCTATAATATACGACTTGAGGACCTAAGGGTACTCCCATAATATAGGACTTGAGAACCTAAAGGTACCTCCATAATATAGGACTTGAGGACCTAAAGGTACCCCTATAATATAGGACTTGAGGACCTAAAGGTATCCCCATAATATAGGACTTGAGGACCTAAAGGTACCCCTATAATATAGGACTTGAGGGCCTAAGGGTACCCCTATAGTATAGGACTTCAGGGCCCAAGGGTACCCCCATAATATAGGACTTGTGGACCTAAGGGTACCCCTATAATATAGGACTTGAGGACCCAGGACTACCCCCGTAATATAGGACTTGAGGACCTAAGAGTACCCCCATAATATATGACTTGAGGGCCTAAAGGTACCCCCATAATATAGGACTTGAGGACCTAAGGGTGCCCCCATAATATAGTCCTTGTCGAGCTAAAGGTACCCCCATAATATAGGACTTGAGGACCCAAGGGTACCCTCATAATATAGGACTTAAGGACCCAAGGGTACCCCCGTAATATAGGACTTGAGGACCTAAGGGTACCCCTATAATATAGGCCTT